GAACAGAGAAACGGCCGCCCCGAGAGAATCGGCTAGAGTGAAACATCTGCGATCGGATTAACGGCGGACATTGGCAACACTTTCGGATGATTAGGCTGATTCCATGTCGATCCTAAGTCCGCGCTTACAACCACAATATCTCTCTGCATGGAATACGCACCTTGCCGCCGACTACAATTCGCAACTAACAAAGACTCGATGGGGCTCGACGGCTCGTTCGCGCCTGCCGCCGAAAATCCATTTGACACGTACAATATTAGATAAATTTCTTTACCCTCCTTCCCAGACATTTCTCCTTAGGCTTGAAAATTATCGATTCACTATCGTGCAATTTTCTTTCGTTTCTGTGTCCGCCATACATGATTGATAATGAATTTTATTATTCGTGATTATTTAAATAGATGAAATATTCCTTTTTAAAATATTCCTCACAATTTTATTTAAGCGAAAAATAAACCAAAATTTATTTATTTATTCGGTTTATTGATGGAAAGAATATACAAAAATAAGCAATATATATTAATTAGCAGACGACATATCATTAAGTATTTATATAATAACAAGATGCACTGTGCACATTATTTTATTACAGTAAAAATATATGTATAATGTGTCTTATCATGATGGTATAAATATTTAATGATATCTGATCAATATATTGCTCAGTTTGTATATCCTTTTTAAATATTAATTTAAATATGTAATATTTATGACATTCTTCTGTAACTATTTTTTGTATCCTTTTTGTCAAAAGATTTTAATTTCGTCAATAAATAAATACATAAATTGCTCGACCGAAATAAGCTCACAAAAAATATTCGCATTCCCGCGAAATTCCGAGATGTTCATCTCATTATAATTATTACGCATTTATATGATAATGGCGAGACATTCTATACATGTATAATATGAATAATGAGCAATGTTCTTGTTCAACTAAAGGATAACACACAATCTCATGGAATAATTATCCTATCATAAATATGACAAAACTTGGTCAATTTGCGTGAAAATTTAATAAACGGATAATATTAACGCGAAGCTTGCTTGATTATGTAATACATAATATAAAATGCGAATTTCTTAAATATTAAGATAAAAACGGGTCAATGCTCTTGACTTATTACATATTTGCGAGTGAGTCTGCCGCATTTGACGGAGACAAAAGAGAGAAGATAGAGAAAGAGAGAGAGGGAGAGAGAGGGGAGAGAGAGAGAGAGGAAGCGAGAGAATAAGAGCATATAATATTCCTCGGGACTCGCAGGGAAAAAATAGCGGATGCGACCACGGGACGGTAGGTGAGAAAGGACGGAGCGGAAGACAGTTTCCCGCGCGGCGAAGCGGTTCTCTGCAGTGTCGTATATTCCGCCGTCGGTGCGGTTGTACACGCGACGCCACTTTAACCCGCAGTCATCCAACCTCTCGCCTTCCCTCTCGCGTTCTCCTCTTTCAGTCTCCGCCGAGTGAACTATAAGCGCAGACCAGTGTATTTCGGTACGGAGGCAGTAGACCCCGGTGGATGGTGTTTTCCTCGTCGCATTTCCATTCTTCGTCCTCCTTCCGCTTTGCCGGTGCCCGGTGCAGAGGAGAAGATGAAAAGGCGGGACAGATGGCAGGACGGAGAGAAAGAGAGGGTAAATGAGACGGATGACGGGAGAGAAACGAGAAAGGAAAGAGCCGCGTGCGTCGTCTTCTTCTTGTTCTTCATTCCCGTCTCAGACGGGAGGGGCAGAACGAATGATAGCGATTCCCGTGCCAAGAGCTACTCGTTCGGGCCAAGCACAACTTGGCCGAGGCACAATCGAGTGAAAGTCGCGTCGCGTCTTTCGCCGAGGGGTGGCTTTCGGAGCGCGCACGGTGGAAAACGGAAGGGAGGGGAAAGAAAAAAAAAGAAAAACACTCGACTCTCTCTCGAGCAAAGTGAAAGTCGAGAGAAAATAAGGATAAATTGACTGTCCCCGGATGGATGGGAAGAATTCACTCCGTTGCGGATTGCGCGTCACGGCGACGGAAAGAGGCGCCAGAGAGAAAGAGTGACTGAGTGCTGATCTTAGATTGCGGACGGGATGAGACTTACAAGGAGCAGACGGTCGCTACTTGAGACTGGATTACGAGATAAATGTTCGCGCGGTAGGTAAGTCGCGAACGAGTGATAATCGATGTTAAACGACGCGATTAATCGCGACGTGATCGAAAGAGCGATCGAGTCGGCGGACATATTGAAAAGTATCATAATAACGTTAAATATTGATGGACAACTCAGACTTCAATCCGACAGAGAAGGATTATTAATGCTTCGATCTCTTTTGTAGAATAATCATGTCTAAATTTACAATTATATAATGAAAGAGCTTTGTGGTTTGATTACAACATATCTGCATCCAATTATTCCGCTGATTATTATTTTATATCGCCACGCAACAGATGCCAAATTGCCGATGATTGAAGGAGTAATCGAGTCGGTGGATGTTTTAAAAAGCATAGTAACACTAACGCTAAAAACGATCACAAATATTAGTGAAAAATTCAGACTTTAATCCGACAGGGAGAGATTTTTGACACTTCGATCTTTTTTGTAGAATAATCATACCTAAATTCCTAATTATTTATAACGAAAGAGCTTTGTGGTTTGATTATAACACATCTGCATCCAATTATTCCGCTGATTATTATTTTATATCGCCACGCAACCGATGCCAAAGCGATGATTGAAGGAGCAATCGAGTCGGTGGATGTTTTAAAAAGCATAGTAACACTAGCGCTACAAACGATCACAAATATTAGTGGAAAATTCAGACTTTAATCCGACAAGGAGAGATTTTTGACGTTTCGATGTTTTTTTATAATAATCATACCTAAATTCCTAATTTCGATGTTTTTTTTAGTGTTGTTGTTTTTTTATGTTTGTTGTTTATTATACCTAAATTTCTAATTATTTATTATATAACGAAAGAGCTTTGTGATTTGATTACAACATCTGCATCCAATTGTTCCGTTGATTATTATTTTATATCGCCACGCAACGGATGCCAAAGCGATGATTGAAGGAGCAATCGAGTCGGTGGATGTTTTAAAAAGCATAGTAACACTAGCGCTACAAACGATCACAAATATTAGTGGAAAATTCAGACTTTAATCCGACAAGGAGAGATTTTTGACGTTTCGATGTTTTTTTATAATAATCATATCTAAATTCCTAATTTCGATGTTTTTTTAGAATAATCATACCTAAATTACATAGCGAAAGAGCTTTGTGGTTTCATTACAATATATCTGCATTCAATTGTTTTGCTGATTAATATCTTGTAACGTCATGACATTGCCACGCAACAGATGTCAAAGCTTGCGGATTGTTGCGATATACATAATCGGTGCGATCGAATCGTTGCGGGATCAACGGCCAGCCAAACTCGACAATCATTTACTTTAACTGATCGATCAAACTGATTTCAACTTCGTTAACTCACTGGTAATGGATAGAATGCGAGCGCCGCAATATGTGTATATATACGCGAGTATATGTAATTAGATGTAGTTTTAAATCGACGTCTATCGAGCGTAGAGTAACAAGCGAGCGAGTGTCCTTTCGATTTCCCAGAACTGTTCAATTTCCGCAGGTTGATTGAAATGAAATAATCATTATTGTTCGTACCATGATCATCGACGATACGCGGTTCTATCGCATGCCACAACGCGGCACGGTATTTATAATGACCATTGTTTCCAAACGCACAAATTTCCATAACTGATAATTCGATTGTCGCGACGTAACCGCGTTCACAATTTACGCGAGAATAACATTTCGCGTTGGTCGGATTGCGCGACTAACGGCTTGTCTAATGAAAGGAAAAGCGAGGAAAAAAAAAGAGAGAAATTCTAATCGCGGCGACAGAGAGAGGATTTCCCGATTGCGATCATCTCGCTCAAGTTTGCCGATCGTTTTTTGCTTTAATAATCGCATCGCGCCGATAATAATCGACGGTATGGACGATTTGAAACATAATTGCATCCCCGATAACGCGCAACAGCCGCTCCCGCGTACTTTAATATTCGTTTTCCGGGAAGCGGAGCGATAGCTCGAAAGGATATCCGCGAATCGTCGACGGGTAATGAAGGAATAATTTATGATGCGAATTGCTCGATGAAAATATACTAGCATTGCCTCGCCGGGGCTCTCGCGTGTCCTTTTTCTTCTTTTCCGCCGGGCTATAATCGACATAAATTCTAATTACATCGCCGCGCGATCCGTTCTCGCGAAATCCCTTGGATTCCATTCGTTGCTCCGAGTTGTTACACGTTCTCGCGAACTAATTCGACGCCGGCGTCGTCGTAACCGGGCCCCTTGTTCTCCACGGTCAATTTATTAACGGCCAACGCACGTGTTTCACGAATGTTTCGTTTCCCAGGGTATTATTTCGCGACCGACACGTTGCTTGTTCGGTCCACGAGACCGTCCCGATATTTTGACCGAAGTAAACGTCGCGTGAGTTTAAAGCCGTGTCGCGAATTTTGAGATGACACTCGGACATGATCCGAGAATCCTACGATGTTAGCAGGATTCGGACAATCGAATTCGGTTGATCGAATTAATCCCTCGAATGTCGTCGGTTGTCGGAGCGAGAACTTTGATTGAAATGGCCGGTTGCTCGCGAGAAAACGACCTTAAATATAACACAATGCATTTTGATGCATGGTGCATTATTCTCTTTATTCAACGCACGTAATATTTGAGAAAAATGCAGTAATTTTTATACTATTTATATATGAAATATTTTTCCTTTTATTCCTACCTTTATGGTCGTAACATATTTTTCAGCAAACGGGATTTTCTCTCGGTTCGTTTAAACGAACCTTTTTTGCGCTTACATGATTTTGCACTTCTAGTTCGCGATTATTGTTGCAAGGGAACGCGGATAAAATTCGTAGAATTCTTTTACTCTTTATTAGACATGAACTGCGTGAATCGGGGTCTTCATTACACTTCTCATTCTTTGTTGCAGACCGGAAACAGTTACAAATCGCCGGAGGAATCACCGCACACGGAGCACAGCAGACTGAGGTGAGCGAAAACAAAATGCATGCATAACAAAGCCGAAGAAATAACAAATGCAACGCCGGCGAGGTTATTACTGAGGGAAACAGGCACTTGGATAAAAATAGCAAAAACGATTCTGCGACGATAAACATGATCAGACTGCTTTCGAAGAAAGCAGATCGCGGTATATGGGTCTTTTAAATTGCAAATCGTAATGTTTTCCCCATGAGACATATTTATAAAATATTAAAGATAAAATCGCGAAAATAGATGATTAACCCAGGACTATTTTCAACCGTAAATAAATGATGGATCGAAAATAATTATGACGAATTTCTTGCCTCATTTCTCTCTAGATTCAATAATTAACCGAAACGTGTGACAAGTATAGAACGTTGTTGAGATCACTTGACGTAAGCTGAAGCAATGTACCAATGGATCACGCCAAATGTCCGACAGCGCAAGATAAATTTCAGCGGTCTTCTCGGTGAATAACGCTATATGTCGAATGCAATTCGTGACGCGTATCGTCCGCAAATTGCACGCGGAGTCAACATACTAAAATTACTGGATGAATTCTCGCGATGCTTGAGGCGTTGCCAGGTCGACGTCGCGTTTGAATTCGTTTTGAATTGCAAGAACAAAACCGGAGTGTGTCGTGACGCGAGATGAGACGTCCCGACGTGGTGCAAATCCACTTTTGATCTAACGCGGATCCGCAGCCGCGATCGTTAATCCGAGATGTGATTACAGCATACAATCGTTCTTCTAAACGACGTTGTTAAACGCTGAAACGGCCGCCGAAACTTACACGATTAAACGATCCATCATTTGTTTAATAATACTTAAACAACCAGACTTGGAGTGGCTCGTAATTGTGCAAAACTTTGTTCTCACGAGGCGACGAACGAGCCTGCGTTAACGTGCATTTTATTTTTCAAAGTATGGTATTGTCATTAAATAAGTTTAAGACAATCTCACAGCGGAATTGCATCTCTCTTTTTTTTCTCTCTCTCTCTCTCTCTCTCTCTCTCACGAAGGTATCAAATAATATAAAAGTACCAATCTCCGATGACGTTAAACGAAATTGAATTTTAAACGGAGATACCTCTGGATGCGTTTCATAAAAACGGCGAATAGAAAAAAATATCATACGTGTTATACCGTAGGGGTAAAAAGGATTTTGCCGGACTAAGGAAATCTCATCCGCTCTATATACGCTCCATATCGCTACCTCATGATGTGGCCGGTATATTCATGTCTCATAACCGTGATATACCCATTCCTTCGGCTGTTCTAAAAATGCGGTATCCCGGCCGGTATCGCGTTTTGTACCGTCCTCGTCGGTTCGAAAATGCGCTCACTTGCATTCGAGTCGAAATTCATCAAATTCATCAAATTCCGAAATGCATTCTGTCACGTTAAATGTGCTCGCGCGAATTTAACGCGTTTCGTTATATACTTCCATTTTTTTATCGGCACTAAAAATGCAGCGTATTTTAATTAAATCTTGTCTATATTTATACAGTTCCAAGGTTCGTTTCACGAACGAAAATAATTAAAAACGCAGCAAGAAAGTATACATTTAATATTATCAGAGAGACACGACAATTTTTAAAGAATCGTCCACTATAAAATTTATTGCTACGAAATCGATTTATCTCGCACGTACGAATAATACCGCAATCGCCGAATATTCATACACACACACACACATACGGTTTTTTTTTCCTTTTTATTATGTACCGGTCGAAAAAGTTACCCGGTCGAATGAACAATCAGTCGGCAAGATCTGAAACCGATTGACAGCCTGTCGCACGTGCAACGCGCTTTTTTCCATTTCCCGATCGGCCTATTATGCGCGTGAGATGCGAGGATTGATCCAATACGAAATCGAGCCGGCGTATTAAATTCATTCGACCGAAATGCGCATCCATCTTGCATTACGACCGACGCGGAGCTATTTCCCGCTCGATTACGATACTTTTAATAGGGAATCGGGGAGCGTTTCGTGTCGGCGGTAATGTAACTTCTCGACGGAAGTTGGAGCAGACGGGAACGATTATCTTTCATTACACCTGCGATTCCCAGGTTCTAATTAATCGACCTGATTGTGGGCGATGATAACAGGAAGAGGGAGAACAGCCGGAAGATAGAAATGTGTATATTAATATTGCATTTTTTTTTTATCGGCTACAAGTTTCCTTCAATTGATATTATGGATAGAATTGATATTATGGAATTAATATCAATTAGTAATTATATACTAATGACGTTGTTAGTGATTTGTCGAGCAGCGATGGGAAAATATACATCTTTCATAATATTCTCCTTTTACTCGTGAATTTCTACGGTAATTAAAGTTTGAGTACCGTGAATATAACAGTGAGAGAGAGCAAATCGTATTAATTTATGTTGAGAGACTTAAAGTAATTATGCGAAAAATATCGTTGGAACCTGGAATAACGAGTGATGATATAAATTAGGAATAATTCCTCTCGAAATACGTGATTTCACGTTTTCGATTTCGAATGACATTTGATATGGCGACTTTTACAGATCACATGTCGTCGTTAACGGCGCTCGTGGCCATAAGAGCAGGTGAATCAATATTGTCGTATTGAATGAGGAGAACAGTAAAACTTTACGTTCGAATTCGCAGAGAGAAAGAGAGAGAGAGAGAGAGAGAGAGAGAGAAAGTATAAAGCAGTCGGTAAAAGACCACCGTGGCGAAGAGTCCACGGTTGCTCGCGATCTATTACGTTCTTGGTCAAGTGATAAATGAACCAATGAAAGAATGTTACAGGACTCTGCAATTCTTTTCTCCGGCTTCTGCCAGCTTTTTTCTCTCGCAAACTTTCCTTCGCACTTTTTGTCGCGAAACGACGCGTCGTCCGCGGTTCTTCGTCTTCATACGTAAACTTGGTGCGGCGAAATAAATTGGCTGGCTTCGACATATATTCCGTCCCGATATCGTATCTTTAAAATATCTAGCGACGCGAGAATATTTTACACGTAAGAAACAATGCGAAATGAGAAAGGGTAGGAAAAGTTTTTAATGATTTCTCGCGCAAAAACTTTTCAAGCGTCCGCGTCTGAAAAATCACTCGATTGTAATTTGTCATTTTTCATTCAATTTTTATTCCTTATCACTCGAAATAATATCGCGAGGTGATTTAGCCTCGGATTGTAATTTTATTTCTGCTTACGAGTTATCATAATTGAACAATCGCCGTACGAGTTATGCCATTTGAGCGTATCAAATCATCCCATCCGCGAAGCTTGTGAATCGTCCGTAACTTCGCATCGCATCGACCGCGTTTATACGTGCGCTTATTCCGGCGGCGGGAGGGAAGGGTTGAAACACGCGAGGCGTGAAAAGCCGACTAGCAACAACCACCGCGAGTCACAAGGTGCGAGCGTGTCAAATTCGCGGGCCATATTGCGGTGTTGCGGCCAAAGGCGCAGCATCGCTGCACCGTCAGTGCTTAACGCCTGTTCGTTATACGCAAATCTCTCGTTTGCATTCAATTCGCTGACGCCTATTTCATGACAGAGCCCCGATGCGATTCCCCGATAATCCGAGTCACTCGTACTCTCGCACGCGACCGACAGATAATCCCTTAAGTGCCGCGCAATTTTCTCACACCTTGTAAGCTCTGTGTGTCACGAGATTTTTATCTGTCGTACGAAAGCACGCGATGCGACGTCGTATGAAAGGAAACGATGCGAATTTTCCGTCATTTTTCAACCACTCGAGCGTAAAGTACCAAGTTTAAATTTTATTTCCTCGGGACAACAGGATTTCATGATGTACAACATGTTATGAGAGAAAATAGACATATTTAAAAAAAAATAAAGGAGACAGAGTTTTGTTTTGATTACAAATCGAGAAGGAAATTTTTCTATTGTTTTCCAAATGTAAAAGTAACTAGACGATACTGCGCAACATTAACGATGCCGGAGTTAACATTTATGAGGATTTATGAGAAGATACGCCTCGGCGATCGCTCGACTTTCAAAGTTACAGCCGCGTACCACGCCAATATACGTAATTGGCTGCCGACGCCGCGAACTTTTAATTGGTTTCAACCGTTTCGGCTCCGGTTCGATGATTTTTCATCCTCGTTCGGCCGGAAATCGGCGTCAAAAATAATAAGCCCGATGTGCCACAGCGATTCGTCCTCGCGACGAGATCGGCTAATCAGATTCTCGTGCAAGGAATCGCGCGCGCGAGATGTTACCGGGTTAATTAATGCCGCAGGGCCAATTATACGTGTGCGTACGTAATTAATAACGAAATATTAATGACAATGGACCGCGTAATAACAACTAGAAAATTTACAAATGCCACTCGTCAGGCATTAACGGATCATCGTTGATACAACGATCGACAGATACGGGACGATAATCATTACGAGGCTTTTATTGTAATAACGGGATTATCATCTCGTTATCAAGTGCTGTTTTTCAATTCACGATCGATGGGTAGATGGAAATTAATGAGCTCGCGCGCTTATCTGCGCCACTCGTTGATTCAGGTAACCAAGAATCGATCCTTGAATACCTTTCCAGGATCAGGGAGCGTAGATATCTCGAATCAGTCGATCGGATTGAAAGAAAATACCATGATATTATTTCAAACATTATTTCGCACTTTTAATAATCACTATACTTTCTTATTCCTATCTTTTTTCTTCTATATAAATGTACTTCTAAAACATTAGATTGCAATACATTTTTATTTATATTTAATATTAAAGTGAGAAATTTGCTATATCTTTTTTACGCAAACATTTACATTTTTATATTTTCTAGAGACTTGTTATACATATCAATGATGCACAGACTTTATATACATATATTAATTGTAAAAATATTTTAGACTGTTCATCAATATTTCAGTAACAATCAATATTTCTTGTAGATAGACTTTAAAGCATGACTAATAATATTTTTTAATGTTTGGTGATTTTATTTTACGTCATAACTTTGCAATTTTATTATTATAAATCATTTTGCTC